AGGACTATTACTCCATGTAATAATACTGAAAAATAAACAAAGAAAAAAATAGGTAAGACCAATTGGCTGGGATGCTGTTTCAAAATGTCAAAAATATATAGTCACTCAACTATTAATGCAGGACCTGAGTTCCAAGCATACTATAGGATTATTAAAAAGTAACTTAGTTTTTAACCAAAATGACTATAAGAAACATCTGAATAAACAGAAACTTTAAATTTAGAATTAGTGATGATTTGGGCTAATTCATAGAAAAATTGGAAAATCAGATGACCATCTTCTGTCAAATATAACTCATGGTGAGAAAATCAAGCATATGAAAAAAATTGCAATACCTCCTCCAACATTTTATTTTGGAAGCAGGAAGAAAAGAGCAGAGAGAAGACATGATGATGTAGGAAATCTTTTGTATTTATGTAGGAAAAGAAATGTGCAATTATGTTTTATAAAATAAAAGTGAATTTAATACTTTTCATTATACAAACAAAATCCTTTAAGTGTCATAATTTTGTGACAGTACACTTTGGCAAAGAATTATAAAATGACATCAAAACTTCCAATTTAAAAGAAAAAGTTCTCTTTAGATTCTTTATGATCCTTTTTTTACTGAACTGGCTCAAGAACATTTACCCCCCCCCCAAAAAAATGCTAAGATATTTCATCTATTAAAATCAATCCTTTTTATGGTCAAAATGAGCCTAAATTGAGCAACTGAAGTTACATTTAAAATTTCTCTCATTTCTAAAAGATATGTTTCTGCAAAACTAACAGTTTTTTATGGTGTTTATTAGATGAACTTATAAGAATTTTAACAAAAATAGGACCAGCAAGCCTTTTTCTCTTTCCCTTTCATCCACTTGGAGGATTGGGAGTGGAGACTGAACATTCTCAGGTCAAGAAGGCCCACAATGTGCTCTTTGAAATCGAAAATGATTCATAATGTAAACAGTTAATGAGACCGAATCCTATGTTTATAATCCTCTATTTCCAAGTATCAAGGTCAGAAGGGTTGAAGGTAAGAAGCGGAAGAGAAAGTGACTGTGCACAAAGTCGTAGAAGAGGTCTCCCAAGCTCTTGATGCTAGTTCCTGGCTGATCTCTTCAGTGTCATTTCTTGCTACTTTTCATCTGGCATGCTGAGCTCCAGCCACACATTCCTTAAACTCTGGAGATGCATTCTGCTTTCCCACCTTGGACAAACACTTCTGCTCTTTCTGCTGGGGGAAACTTCTACCCTTTACCCATGGACCGAATCACCACCATTCCCAGTGCGTGCCCACACACACGCAGCTTCGCTTGTTTCCCTCTCCTGGGGCAGCACTAAGTGCCACACTGTCTTTCAGGGACACCTGCCAATCCCTATGGCCACTGCATCACTGAAAATTAGTCAATGGAAGAAAGTCTTGCCTTACTGACAACTAGTGAATAAGTTTTTTCACTTACTCTTGTTTTGAAATATTAGCTAGAAACTAACTACATATTCAAAATTCTGTAAATATTTGTCCTCATCTTAGCTATGTGCTGTTTTTAATAGCACTATTGACACACGCATTAAATTTTATACATCAGATACTGATAAATAACCAAGCTCTTTTTTTTTTGTACTGTAACTACAAGCCTCACTGGTTGTGAGTTTCAAGACTGCTTCACACATTATCATAAAGTTAGCCAACCTTTTAAAGAAAAGTTATGGCATGAAACTGCAGCAGAAAGTTGGAGGTGGTGGTCTTTCCTACCTGATTCCAATATAATATTACATTTTTATGTTGTATGATATTTTATATCCACAGATCTCACTTACCTTAGATAAATATTATCTTTTAAGATAATTAAGGCTATAAATACCTCAGTAATTCAGAGGCCATAAAGAAATGACACCAGAAACTGTTTCTTCAGGATGCATTTTTCTTTTTTTACTTCATATAAAGAAGTTTTTTAAAACTCACGTGCCATTGCTTAAAATTATTGGAAATTGTAATAGAATTCTAATAGAATAAACCTATGGTTGAAGAAATGAAACTTGCCTAAAGCATGAATATGTATGCCATTACTGAATTATTGTTTGGGTAATTAGACCTAAAAACCTGTAAGGATACAAAATATATTTTTTTAAAAACACTTAAGGCTTGAAAGGAAAAGTGTTCTTTTTGCCTAAAGAAATATTTCCATAGTGACTTTCTTATTTGAGCAAGTGAAGGCTTTTATAAGAGAGGAGCAAAGCTGTAAAGAATGCTTCAAAGCAAAATGTGTTGTTATTTGTCTCTCCTCCAATAAAATCAAGCATAGGTCCTTGTTTCCCCTCCTCTTTAACAATGCAGCCTCCTTTATTTCTAGTTACATTTTGTCTTCTTACCTGATTAAACAAATCCACATCAAGATGACTTACCAGTACACATCCATTAGGATTTAAAACACCAGAAAATATAACAAGTGTTGGTGGGGATGTGGAGAAACTGGAACTCTAGTGCATTGCTACTGGGAATGGAGAATAGTACAATCACTGGGGAAAATAATATGGCATTGTCGAAAATATTCAAAAGGTGAAAAGTAACTCAAATGTCCACTGGTGTATGAATGGATAAACAAAATGTACACATGCAGCAGAATATTATTGGGCCTTAACAAGAAAGGAGATTCTGACACATGATACAAGTGGGTTGAGCCCTTTAAGACATTATGCTAAGCAAAATTAGCTAGTCAAAACAGAACAAGTACTACCTGATTCTGTTTATTTGAGGTACCTAGAGCAATCGAGTTCACAAAGACAGAGAGTAGAGTAGTGGTTGCCAGGAGAATTAGGGATGGATTAAGCAAATCAGAGTTTAATAAGTAATGGGTTTTAGTTCGGAAAGACGAAAAGTTCTGGAGATGGATGGTGGTAATGATTACACAGCAATGGGGGTGTGCTTAATACCATGGAAAATAGTTAAAATGGTAAAGTCTATGTTATGTATAATCTACAAAACAATTTTTCATGAGACTGATTTTTTAAAAAGAAAAAATACAACTTGAAACTTGATGTTTGATCTCTACTATAAGTGTTAGTATTTTGAATGATAAAGAGGAATTTTCATTAAAATAAACCATTCAGACTTCTAATGGTAGAAATGCAGCCAAAACAAATGTGAGAGTTTACATTTACCCGCTTTTACACATCCACACACATATGCACATGCAGATCGTATGCCAACATAAGATACAGCCTTCTTCTCTTTAATTGGACTTATACAAAAGGCCTATTGTTACTCATGCACTTCCTAGATGTCAATAATCTTTTATTTTCCTGGTTTTCCACTCAACAATGAATACACAAATCTTGCATTTGGACCTCTCCACAGTCAAGTATAACTTTTCCAGAGATATTTCTCAAAAAATGTTTCAATGTACTTCCCAATACAACTCAAAGCAGTCTCTAAATTAATGTAAACCAGGGCAGGGAAGAGAGGTTAGAAACTTTAGTTCATTCTTTTACCTTTCCTAGAATATAATGAAAACAACTTTCTATGGACTCTATTTTTGATAAGGGTATACAGGCATTAGAATTCTACATACTATTAGCTACCAATGACATATAATCATATACTGTGATTAATAAATATGTTCTGAAAATAGTAGATTGGTAAATATGTTTCAACAATAGTTGTATAACTTAGCATTTTAAGAAATATAATGTTTATATAATTTCATTGTCTGAATTCATACAATTTTCCTTATCATCCATATAATTTCCCCATATTAAAAAAAAGGACAACAGTAGTTTAGTTTTAGTAAATTTGATGCATAAAAAATTTAGCAACACAAGCTAAGTATGAAATACTTTTAAAGTTTTGGTTTACAGTTTTGGTTTTATAAAAATATAAAAACTCAACATCTGTTTTGTTTAAATGACAGAACAAGAACTATTCAATAGGTGGAGGAAATTTAACATATTTCTGTTGTCTTATGGTGCTGTCAGCTTAACGGTGTCCTCTCAAAATCCATATGCAAGGATTCTGACCTCAGTGTGAATTCATTTGGAGACAGGGCCTTTAAGGAGCTAAAAAAGGCTAACTGCAGGCCTCAGGATGAAGCTCTAGTCCAACGTGACTGATGGCCTTACAGAAAGCAAGAAGAAAAGCAAGGACACAAGCTTCCGGAGGAAGGCCATGCAAGGACACAGACACAATGCAAAGGTCTGCAAGCCAAGGAGGCCTGGGAGAAATTGATTCTGCCAGCAATGAGGTCTTTGGCTTTCAGCCTCCAGATCAGTGAGAAAATTAATTTTTGTTATTTAATCCATCTAATCTATGATATTTTGTTATGGCATCAAATGGCAAGTCAAGAAAAAAATAATCAGTGACATGAAAAGAACAAAGAGAGAAAGATAAAAAATGAGACAGACATATTCATATACGGGAAAGAACACTTGAGAGATGTTAAGAAACTCTGATGTATACAGTATACAGATACTATAAAACACCACGTTATAAAATAAAAACTTTATGGTCTTTTAAGAAATTGTTGATAACATGTCTGAACACATGAATTTCTTCTAGTGTGTGTATTTACAAATAGATAAATAAAGTCCCAATTCTACTTTCAGGCCACATTTAGAATCCTCATTTAGAGTCTTCATTTAAAAATGCCCTCACTGGTTAAGTCAGGAAATTAACTATGGATTTTTTTAATTCTTCCATTGTCATGCTTCTAATGTCTCCATTCTCCACTAGCCTCCATTATACTTGCTGGCTACTCCATGTACTCACACAAAAACAGTTGCTGGACTAGCACATTTGAGGCAAACCATGTGGTGATCACTTTGACCAATGCTCACTGAATTAAAAAAATACACATATTTTGCACTGAGACTTACACAACACATGGTAACAGAACTAAAATATTGCTTCAAGGAATGAGACATATTTCAATGGAGAATTATCTTAGGAATTAAAAAGGTACCTAGTAAAATTTCATGTTTTCACTAAAATTAACCCAATATTTTGCTAGATTTAAAATACTTACAGTACAGTAGTTTTGAAACATTCCTGATGATCCAGAGAAACTCCAACTGGAGACACAAGGTAAATGGAAAGATTTTGTTGGCACAATTCCTCTCCAATCATCAAATGGTTGGTCTGTTAGAAATATTGATATAGTTTAAAGTAATATTTGCCCAGAAAAAATGTACTCACCAATCATATGGCTTAATATGACAAAGAAGGAAGCAAATCACTTTAATGAGCTCAGTATTCTATGTTGAAGTCACATTTTGTCATCTAATCATTGATAAATGAAAAAGTGATAGCATTGTATAAAGAGAGGCTTCAATTCATTGGCTCCTTCACACAGTAAAGCTCCAATGTTTTTATTGCATAGTGTGCCCATTAGAAAACTAATAAGTTCATTCTCCCTCTTCTCTTCAAGAACATTGACTTCTTTTTAAAAGAAAGGTTAAAGCAAAATCATATTTGCAAATAGCATTTATAAAAATGAAAGGAAAACTTATCCACTACGAAAGTTCTTTAAAGGAAAACTGAGAATTATTATAAAGGCATAAGGCTTGAAGTTGCAAAGTAAATGAAATCATTCAAAGTTTTAAGGTAAATACTGAAAGGACAAAAGGTTGGCTAGCAGATATCCCATATTTCTTCTGCCTCATGGCAGTTGTCTCCTAAAATTTCTGCAGTAGTGTTTTTTTCATTATGGGAACATTTAAGATTTACTTCTCTAGAGCCAGGCACAAGCCTATAATCCCAGCACTCCAGCAGGCTGAGGCATGAGGACTGTAAGTTCAAGCCCAGCCTGAGCAATTCAGCCATTTAGCAAGACTCTGTCTTGAAATACAAAATAAAAATGGGTAGGGATGTAGCTCATAGTGAAAATCCTATGTTTAATCCCCAATCCTTCCCCCCAAAAGAAACTTACTTGTCCAATCATTTCTCAGAAATACTAATTGTTTGAAAAACAAAAAACTTTAGTTCAATCCTGCCATCCAAGTGAATTAAATTAATTTCAACTTTCTAATACTTATTTATATACATATATTTTCCTGGTACATTCAATTTAATAGAATCATCCATGGACTGGTTAATGTCATAGAAATTAGGGAAAGCTCAGAAATAATTCAGTCTAACATTTAATTGATTCAATTTATTCATAGTATCATAAGTTAGGTGCCCTACAGAAAGACAGAGAAGTAACATAAAACAATGAAAATGTGTTACCTTAGATATATTCCAATAAATATACACACATCCTACCAGGTTTTATTTTTTACATGTATTTCACCCATTCAGTCAAAAGAATCTCTGCCCTTAATCAAAAAAAGCAAAATCTCTTGAAAAGGCAACATAACAAGTGATATATTTCAATCAAAACTCAAAGAGAATAAGTGAAATTCTTTAATGAAAGCAAATGCCAATTACAAGAAAAAGACCTGAGAAAATTAGTATCTGAGAAGATGATAGGAAAGGAAAGGCTGTATACTTTATATTTTAATTTGGGATCTTTATAAGCCCAAGAGGGTATAAAAGAATAACCCAAGAGTTACTAGAGGTGGGTGCAGGAGCCCTCACATTATTATGAACGCATCTTGATTAATTCAAAGCATTCCCCAACTTCAGAGCATTGCACTTGACCTCCCCACTTCCCTTAATGTACTTCCACAATAAGCATTCTCGCATATTTTAGATAATTGAGCTTCTCTTTCCAATCTCCCTTGTTAATTAATAAACTCCCCTGGGGCAAGGACAGTATCTTACCTGGAATGATTCTGTGTTTCTGGTTCATTAATAATGTGAGTAAACTAGCTATATAAACACTCTAAGAATTGCTCTCAAAAGGTGAAACATCACAGGTAAAGAGGGGATCTTCCCAATCACTGCAGAACACAAAGCTACACAACTCATTTTTACAACAGAGCCCAGGGCATTTCCAAACATTTTCTCTTGTTTACCCACAGAACAGACTTAGGCAGTCAAGAAGAGCATGCATTATTTTTCCAGTATATAGGTATCACACTAGAAAGTAAAGCTGTAACTTTTCCACTTCAGAAAGCAATAAAGCCTCCATGAAAGCCCTCAAGGTAATCATTCACATACTGATGTATGCTAATGATTCCCTCCTCGGACAACAGCCATACAAGGTGGCACGCAACAAATTCCAGTTTACTCCACAAAGTCGGTTGAAAGTTATAAGCTGAGAGTTTGAAGAAAACCAAGGTCATATTTCAGACTAATCCTTCACAGACCCTTCCCAGAGTCAACAGTATTCACAAATAATACCAGGGAAAAATAAAGACTGAATTCTACATGCATGTGTGCAGGCAAGTACACATGGGAACAAGGACACGCTGCATGCTGACAGCTGAAAAAATAAATACGTTATTAGTAGTCCCACTTATCAGCCAGCAGGACAAGATAAAATAGTGTCAGATTTAAATATCTGGGAAAAAGCAATACTCAAAATTGGAAAGAAACCAAAATAGTTATATCAGTTTAACATGGAGTGAATTAAATAGCAGTTATTCTTGAACATTGAAAAACAATTTTTTGTTAAATCACTACTCATAGTGCTGTCTTCCTGATTACATTTCCTCAATACTTATTATAGACTCTTATAAAAATTATTATTATAGCACAAGTTCACCCTATTTTGCTGTCTTCTATCTACTTGCCATGTATAACCTTAACTGTATGTCTCTAACTCATATGCACCATAGAGCAGAATATAGTGCCATGCCCCAAGCATGTGCATCTGTGAGCTCCTACATCCAGGCACCTATTTGGCATTGACAGAGAAGCCAACCAGCAAAACTGTAAAAGTGAAAAGTTCTGTGCAGTGCAACTGAAAACTACATGAAAAAACAGAACCCTTTACAATGGAGGTCTAAAATTCTGCTTTTTTCCCAGGGCCAAATATTTTGTACCAGTCCTTCTTTCCTTGCTTTCTAGTATAATCCTGACATTTCTAATCATGTTTTCAGGTGGAGGTGGGTTTTATTTCTTCTCCATTTTTATTCAGATTAATGTAGATAATAATGAGCAAATTATTTACACAGGTGGAAGATATTTCTAAAACCTAATAAGCATAGTTATTTTAGTAACTTAAATTACATAAATGACTCACAGAAAACTGTAAGATTCTATATACTACAGACATATTCTTGCCAGAGAAGGAGAAAAGAAGAAAAGAAAGGTAAAAAGAATCTTAGCTAGTTAAAAAAAAAAGAACATTCATACCACTCTATAATTTTTGTAATGACATACATTTCCTCCATACTGCAAATGATAGATTTGTTTGATTCATTTGAATATCAGCGAAAGACAATAGATATTCAAACTTCAAATATACTGTTTTCGTCAACCAAGAAACCAAAGGCTGTTAAGTAACAGTCTATTCAATGCCTCTATGAGCCTAAGGAAGTCTCAAGGAAATTGTAATGCATCTTTATTAGAACATGACAAAACAAAAGACACCACTGGGTTCAGTGGTCCAGGGTCCCCAGAGTGTCTTTCATGCTAAGCTCATTCTTCTTTCCTTTTATCAATCCCCTTGTATCAATTAATTCTTAGAGTTAATTGCACATGCAGTTTTAATTTGTAGGTAATTACAAACAATTAATAGTTAGGAGACAGAATTAGCAGTTCTTAGTTTGATTATCTATATAATTAAAAGGGATGGTAAACTTGAGTTGACAAACAGCATCTTAATCATCTGAATAATCAAACCTCAGAAGCTTGCTGGGTAGCTGAATTCCATCTGCTTCATTTCTTTAAATTTTCAAATAAATGACTGAAGTGTCCATTTAAATCAATTCACGAATGTTGATTTATAGTACAAAAAAGAAGGTATATATTCTACAATCATCTAAACTAACTTCTTTCATTTGTTTTAATGAGCCATTTCCAAAAGGATTAAATATAAATAAAGATTTAGTAGGGAATAAAATGTAATGCCATTTCCTCACTCATTGCAAGGTTCATGGCTAGAGATCCAAAGACTAATTAATAAAACCATAAGAAATTTATTTATCACTGATTCATGTGACATAAGAGCCTTCAGAAATGAAGACCCCAAAACCAAGGGAAAACTGTGTATTTTTATGTTTACATAAGATGAAGAATGTAGAAGTATAACTGGATACAAGGGGGATAAAAGCCAATGGTGATAAACCGAGGCAAGTGGACTTAGCAAGGACTATCTCTTCAGACTCTTCTAGGCTCCCAAGTACATAGTAGGCCACCTGTCTTCTAATTGTTTCCTGGGGAGAAAGGATGAAAGCAGAAAGTGACCTTCCCAAGTTTTATGGCTTACTTCAAGGGAAAGGAATTGGAGTTTCTATGACCTCCTTCAGGGACAAAAGGTGGGCAGAGAAAGACTAAAGATAACTAGTCCTGCCTCTGCAGTCTCCTACTGTCATCCAGCTCAAAATACTCAGCACACGCAGACACCATGTTTTCAAGATACCATATTTTGAGCCCAGACAGGTTCAACAGGCTAAGTTATGTCACCTGGTCTCCTGAACCCTAGTCAGTAACCATGGTTCCTGTTTCCATGTTATAAAACACCTAAGAAATATGGATTAAATTTTTGGGTAGTGGTCTATGTAACACTTTTATTAAGTGTGTGCTGAGAGATGGCAAATAAGATATACCTTTTGACCGCCCACAGCATCGAGGACCAAAGCTGCCCCAGCATAGAGGAGGTGAACCTTCCGGGCAACCATACCATGGTGCCCAGTGCTGAACAGCAGAGCCACCCCCAGGGCAGAAGAGGTGAACCTTCCAGGCTGCCATATGACTGCCCCCAGAGCCAATGAGGTGAGCCGCATAGGTGCCAGCAGCACACATACCCCAACCCCGTTGATATGAGAAGACACTTAAAAAAGTCTCACAACCAGACTCCCAGATCACCTAAAGTAACCTCAAAGGAAAACAAGATGGAACAATCTGATACTCAACCACCTGGACTCCCTGCACTGGCAAAAAAAGAGCATCTGGAAAAAAATGAAATCAGAAATAATTTCTCATATAACACCAGAGATTGTGCCCACAGTACAAGACATGATTAATAAATCTAGAAAGGACACAGATAAAAAAATAGAGGAGCTGAGGAACATGATGGAATCCCAACA